TGATTAGGAGAGTGTTCATGACATCTGCAAAGACAAAAATTTGGTGGACTGTGGAATCTTTTCACAGAAGAGATCTAAAGACTCAGGGTTACCCATGTAGCACTGGCACATTCCAGCTTGGTGCAGCTGCTATGTGCACATTTCTTCCATTTCTTTGCCTCTTCCTTTTAATAAATAATAATAATAATAATAATAATAATAATAATAATAATAATAATAATAATAATAATTTATTTCTATCCCGCCTCTCTACTGAAGCAATCGGGGTGGCTTACATCCTGATCATCCACCTCTATCATCCTTGCTGCCTCTTAAGACAGCAGTAATGATGTATCAATGAGCAAACAAGGTGGTTGGAAGTGATTTGACAGGGCAGATTTGATATTTTGTTATTCTTCGCTATTGGGTAACCTATCTGACTGTCCGTCAGAGTATTTGTGATATGCAAGTTGCAAAGACGGGCATACTTTCCCATGATTAAGCATCACTGAAGTTGGGACAGAAGAAGAGCCAGTGTGTCATAGTGGTTTGAGCATTGGACTATGACTCCGGAGACCAGGGTTCAATTCCCAGCTTAGCCATGAAAGCAATGGATGACCTTGGGCAAGTCACACACTCTCAGCCTCAGGGGACAGCAATGGCAAACCTCCTCTGAATAAAGCTTGCTCAGAAAACCCCATGACAGGATTGTTTTAGTTGGAACGAAAACATAAACGTAAGTTGGAACTGACTTGAAGGCACACAGCAACAACAAATATAAATAGGTTTTTGCTATTGATGCTTCATATGAGGAAGAAAGGATAACATTGTTTTGAAAAACTCTGGGTATTTCCATTTTGTTTTGTTGTGGAGGAAGGAACTGAATGATGGAAGGTAAACTTAATAATCCTAAACAATGTTTCACAAATCTTTCTCACTGACTGACCACATACTGTATTTCCAACCTGGTTTCTGGGGCAAGACCGAATTTCAGAAGGACAGCATGTAGCCCTTCAAGCTGTTTGAGCAAAAATCTGTCAATAGCAAACAAAAAAATATCTATATTATTTTACCTTCTATCATCATCGCACAGTCTAAATTCATCACTTGCTGTCTTATGTTTCTGTGGGTGTCCCTTAATTGCAACCTCTTGATAAACTTTTTTAAAGCTTTGTGTTTATTGCTAGGCAGATTAATGCTTTCAGGAGGCCTTATCTTTAAGCAGCATGTGAGGGGAAAAACTCAAAATTTAGCCTTTTAGACAGCACATTTTCACATCATTAAACTGGAAAATGTTTTGTGGAAGGGGAAAGGTTTTACAGTACATCTCCATTAACATACCTGCTGGAAACCCATTTTAATGTTCGCAGTGATTAAAACAACTTGCTTCTCACCCATTTCATTAAAAGCTTTTTTGAAGGCAATGGAAATAATGGTTACCCCCTCTCCCTACACCCCATCTGCTTCAAACATAGCTTCAAAATGAGTAAACAAGTAATTATAATTGTCTTGAAGGTACATTGTGAATTACAGCCTATCCAAATGGCATATGAGAACTTTGGGTAGAGATTGTGAAATCATGAAGTAAGGCAGAAACTAATTGTTCTGTTTCTGTTTTTTGAATATACCCCAAACAATAAAATATTAAACTGAAACTAGCAAAAGCACAGACTGCAATTTAGAACAGTTTTCATAGTGACACTTGAGATGTGTTTGTCTGAACCTCTCAAAAGAGATTGCATTCCATAAAAAAGGCATGTCACAAAATCTACAAATGGGCCCTTTAATTCACTAATTAATTGAGCATGGAGTCCAGTTTCTATTTGTTCATTACAAAGTTATTTCAAGTACATATTAGAATATAAGAGCCTAGCTAACTTTTGGAAAAACTAATTATTCAGGTTTTCTCAGCTTTGTCTTATAAATGACATCACTTAAGGGAGGAATGGAATAGATTTCTTTGGATAAAAGAGTGCCAGATTTGAAATTGGACCCTGAACTGACTGGGGATTCTTTACTTAATTTTTTCCTTTTCTTTCCTTTTCTCCTTCATCCACCCCCACTCATATTTTGAACTGCCTTATGAGTTATTTAAGCAATCAAATAGCTGTCAAACTGTGATGACAATGGAGGGATTAAATCTATGCTGCATCATTGGTCATTGACAAACTAATATATATTCAGTTGGATATGATATGAAAATTTTGAATAAAATAACTGTAGAGGTCCATACAATATGGAGATAGAAGAAGCCTATTTTTTGTTCCGTTTCTTCTTCTGAAACCATGGGTAACCATACTGGACAGATAGCAAAGTAGAATACCATCCAAAATCCACAAAGTAGTGGTGCCTTTATTGGCATTAAATATGGAAAATACATGATGCAAGCTGTCAAAGCTCCACCAGATCTCAAGCACAACCTGGATCTCAAAGGAGGCTTCTTTTTGTGGTGCTGATGGAGTTTAAGTTTTATTTTCTGGATGTTAAAACTCTTTATCTCCCAGAGCCCACATGGCCAAGGAGGAAGAATGGCCTCTGACTTCATCAGTGATTCTGAAGGTGAGCAGTACACAACCCCTGGGAATGGTGGAAAGGTCCAGCAGAGGGACGGTGAGATGAAAAGGAAGCAGCAGGGGGGCAGTGAGGAATAATAATAA